GGGTTGAGGAAACACTGGCCACAAAGGCCGTGGCCTGGGCTCTGTGTGACATGGCCTGTGCTCATCCATGCACCTCACAGCCCCTGTGCATGCACACAGCAATGTACTGCTGGGAAACTGCCCTCCAGGAATCGAGGCACCTCTAGCCCCAGGAGTGTGTGGACCACTGGAACCATGGCCAGGGCAGGCAGTAGGGACTGCAGCCCATGCCCTGGGCCCACACTGTAGGCACCCTCCCAGTCTCTGTCCATCACAACAGCCCTCCATGGCTAGCCTTGTGGCCCCTGAATGAAGGGGCCTCCTTCCCAGGAGTGCTGCCCTTGGGGTCCCCTCTGGCCGTCAGCCTCCTCTCACCTCTCGGGGCCACCTTGTTCCCACACCCAGGTCCCAGCTGTGCCCTGACCACCAGGCCTGCAGTGGTCACCTCTCCCACTCATGTGGGTATCAGGCAGATTCGCTGCACCCTGTGTGGCTGGATGCAGGGCCTGCAAGACCTGTGGAGACAGGCAGGGCTGGGCCTGGGGACCAAAGGCGAGGGGACAGAGATGCCACACCAGAGCCCGGTGCATTCGCAGTAGTGACGTCTGTACTGAAGGGGACTAAGTGAAATACAGAGCAGCGCCCAGCGTGGCTGTCTCCTTTCCCTTTCTTTCACGTAGCCATGACCCTGTCACCTTGAGGCCGGGGCTGTCCCCCTGCGGCCACACACGAGCGCACGACTTGTGATGTCACATCACTCACGGTGTGGGAAAGCACAGAAGACACACAGGGAGGGAGGCGGCTCCCAGAGAGCGGCGCAGTGCTCGTGGCCTGGCCCAGTGCTGGGTTTGGGGAGACACTGGCCACAGAGGGGACAGAGGCTGATGGGGGCAGCAGATATGGAGAGGTCTTGGCCCAGCCCAGCCACGGGCTCCAAATGGGTAGCAGGGCTTGAGCTACTGGGACCTCACGGGGCTCTGCAGCCAGGGTTCAGCCTTGTCCCTGCCCCACACAGTGCCAGGGTGCAGCCAACCCCAGCCTTGGTTTCCCTTTCTGATGGCACAGGGTGTGGTGCCCCACTTGCCAGGTGGCTATCCCTCAAAAGGGGCTCTGTCTGGCTCATCCTATTCTGCACTGGAGGACAGCGGGGTGGTAAGCTTCCAGGGCAGGGCTGGGTGCAGTCCCTGAGGCCCACACCTGCCCTGCACCCCAGGATCTGCACATTCACAGTGATCGGAAGAGACGGCACCTGAGGCTGCATTGAGCACCTGGAACCCGAGGACAGAGTGGGTAAACTTGGCGCACAGCTTCGGGGAGGGGTCAGACATGGGGCTCGGGGTCCCTGTGCTGCTCCCCTCCCCATAGACTCAGGCCAGCAGGGGCCGGTGCTCCGGCCAGCCAGGAGAAGAGCCCTCGATGCCCCCACCTGTTGTTGGAGTGCTCTAAACCAAAGCAGTCTCAGCAGCCCCCATCCCTGCCCCCGCATACCCTCAGGAGTTGCCTGGCCCCCAGGCCCCTCCTCCACTTCTGAACGTCTGGCAGTGGCCTGAAGTGGTCTCCTGCTGCCCCATGAGATGTCCTCAGCTTCTTCCTGCCATTGCCACCAACACTGGCCTCCAGGCTGCCTGGGGGTTGTGGGAATGGCACCCTCGCCGGGCCTGGAAGCCCCAGAGGCTGGCACCCGTACAGCAGTGACCAGGGTTGGGGCACTACAGCTGCATCTGAGCAGACGGCACCCTAACCGTGGCCACGTCCACCTCACTCTCCTCCCAGGGACACTGGAGGCCCCCTGAGGGGCCTGTGAACAGCGGCAGCAGAGGCTGACCTTCTGTTTCACTGCAAGGCAGGACGGGAGCCAGGAGTCCAGCTGTGTCCCTGTGTCACCGGCCACCGTGGAGCTCCAGCCTAATGCTGACAGCTGCCTCACGCTGGCCTCCTTCTGGCTGGGCCAGGCCTCTGAGCCTCACGGCCTCTGCTCTGTCCACGGCACTGAGGCTGTACCTCTGCCTCACACCCACTGTGTGGACTCCACAAAGTGAGGTCCAGCCAGGGACCCTCAGAAGTGGCATCTGGGGTTTTTATGTGGCCCAGGCAAGCTGAGGCATAACCCCCAGGAAAAAAATTTGGGTATCAGTTCCTTGGGAGGTGAGGACAAGCCACAAAGCTGCTGCTGGCCTGGCACAGGCGCCGTGACATGAGGGAAAGGCACCCCAGGCCTTCTGCACAGCTCCCAGGGAGACTTGGCCCCTCCAGTGGGCACGATGCCTCAGCTGAGTACAGGGAGCATCTGCTGGTCCCAGGCACCCAGGATCTGGGGCATAGAGACTAAGCAGTGCGGGGCTTGGCTCCAGCTGCAGTGCTGCAAGTGCTGATCTTGCAGGTCTGGAAGGTGGAGACCCCCGGGGTCGTCACAAGGACCCAACGAGACAGGCAGGACAGCCCTGAGTCCCGGCACCCCCCATGTGGACCCCCCACCCGCTCACGTTATTATTATTTTTCAGCCCAGCAAGGAGGCAGTGTTCAATCAATATTTGCTCAGGGCACGTGTGATGGTTGGCAAACACTCCTGGGGCTGCCTTAGCCAGCAGAGCAGCCCCAGCAAAGCCTTGCGGCCTCCCAGTGACAGGCTAGGAGGCCATCCTATGGGCCTGTGCCAGTAGGGGGCTGTGCTGCTATGACAGCCAGCACACACCAGGATATGTGGAATCTAGCATGAGACAGGACCCCGGGGTGGCAGGGCCAGGCCTGAGGCCTCTGGCCTGGCACCGGTGGGTGACACCTGTGCCCCACCTGCCTGTGGCACACAGGACAGGGCCCCTCAGCTGTGGTTGCCTGCAGTCCTGCAGGGACTCGGGACCCCAGGGCCTGACAGCCAGCAGTGGTGACAGTAGGAGGGGCTAGGCCCAGGCAAAGTATGGATACCCAAAAGAGGGGAGGTGCCAGCCCCCCCCCCAGGTCATGCAGGGGGCTCAGCGATGGTGAGGAGACAGAAGGCCAAGGATGCCAGCACAGCACTGGGGCACGACAGAAGCCACAACGGGGAGCCCCCAGCTAGGCCCCAGCTCTGCACCCTCTGTTGGCTGATGCTGACCCTGGCACACCCTGGCAAATCGTACAAGTGGGGAGCAGCTCAAGCTGTTTCCCACCTTCTTGCCTGGGGAAGAGACTCAGAGGGGCACAATTCAGCCACCATCCTGCCACCCCAGGCGCGTGGGAGGTGGATGAATCAGATCCCCAAACGCAACCGCTCTCGCAGCACAGTGGGGGAGGGGAGGCGGTCCGGAGTGCCAGATGGTTCCAGAAGGTGGCAGGGAAGCCTTGTGGACAGGGCGCAGCAGGAAGCCTGGCCTCCACCGCAGTCGGCTTGGATCCTGCGGATTAGTGACCCAGCCTGCTGGCAGCTCCAGATCCTTGCGTAGGAAGGAAAATTAATTTCTTCCAGTCATGCAGAAATGAAAAGACGTGGAGCCGAATCGGGGAGATTTCCTGGAGCTGGTAACTCAATTACATGGATAACCTGGTGATGGGGGAGAGGCTGGGGCTCTTGGGGATAGTGGTGGCCAATGGGGATGTCCTGGCTTGGCATGTGGCAGTCCTTGGCCCCAGGGCCAGGTACTGCTTACGAGGACCCTTCCTTCCCCCCAGTCACACAGAGCTCACAGCAGATTCTGCCAGAAAACGGGTCCAATGTGCCGCTCTCCCTCCCGCATCTGCCTCACTCTGACAGTGACTGCCACATCTGTGTCCATGCCCCCCACTTCTCTCCCCCATGCCCCTCTTGGAGCAGAGAGCAGTCAGGCAGGCCGCAGTCTTTCCCACTTGGTGAGTGGCTTTGTAGCTAGGTTCTCAGTGGGAGCCTGTGGGGCAGCGCTGCCCTCATCTGCCTTCCCAAAGCCACCCAGAGGATGATGTCAGGGGGCCAGTGGAACCCCATGAGCTCCATGCCAGCCCTCCACCAAGGAATCTCGAAGCTGCCCATGGACCTCCCAGCTCCTGCCTGACCAGGAGGCAGACACCAGGCAGCCTTGCCCACGGCATGGGGTCTGCAAGATGGCAGCACCCGGGCTCCAGAAGTTAGTTTCTCAGACCTCCCAGCAACTCCCAGTGGGGGCAGACCAACACCCCTTTGTCTCTGGCCAGCCCCTTCCAGAGCGGCAGGCAGCTCTCCCGCCTCTAGGTCCTGAGAGGAAACACACGCCCAGCAGACATAATGGGGCGACATCCTGGCCTCGGGATCGGAGAACCAGCCTGACAGCTACTCAGACCCACCGCACAACGCCTGCAAAGACGTTCCATTCTGTTTCCCAAATAACTGTTTCCTTCCCTGAGCTCAGGCAGCTGGGAGCTAGCGGCCACTGTCCAAGGGTGGAAACGTGGTTGGAAGGAGTGGGGTCCCCACGCTCAGGTCTGCTCAGCAGCCGAATCCGGAAGCGGGTCCACAGCGCTCGCCTGAGCTGGGCACAGCAGCCGGTGCCGTCTGCACCACAGCCAGCCGCTCAGCTGAATTCTCAGCCATCTGTCCTCTGCGGGCTCCCACCTCCCACGTTCCCACAGCCTGGCTCCCGGCCTGCCCCACAGATGGACGGTTCCCAAAGACTGAGGGAAGATGGTCCCGCCAGGCACCTCCACTGTCACAACCCCGGACGCCCGGGGCCCTCCACCTCCGACCTGGTCGGCTGGCAACTTCAGAGATCACAACAAGGGTTGGCGCGGGAGGGGTGAGGACCGTCTCGCCAGCCAGGCCTCCGCTCCGTCTTCTCTGCTACGGTCGCCTCTGCTTGTCACCCTCCTGTCACCGGGCTGCCTTCCTCAGGACCCGAGCACTCCTCGCCCCAAGCCCAACCCTACTCCGGCGGGTCGAGCTCCCTGCACACCCGAGGGTGCAGTCGGCTGGACAAGAGCTAGGAGAGCTGCCCGGCCACGGGCGCAAACTTTGCAAAGTGTGTGTGGGGGGAGGGTGCGGCGCAGACCCCGGCGACAGCGCGGACTGGCGATAGCGGCGACGGCGACGCAACACTTACGGTCTCGTCCCGGTCCCTGGCGGGCTCTCTCTCCTCCCCGTCCGGGCTCGGCCGAACGCTCGGGCGGCCGCGCGCCCTCTCCTCCAGCTAGGCGGGGCGGGGCGCAGGGAGGCCGCGGGGCCACGCGGGGTCGCCGCGCGGGAACAAAGCACGCACTCGCCGGGCGGTCTGGCCTCGCGGCCACGGCCGCCGCCTCTGCCCGAGCCCACACCACCTGCCTTCCTCCCGGCACCCCACGCTCGCCCCGCCTCGGGCGCGGAGGGGGCGCCCCGGGATCCCCGCCCCCCGACTCCCACCCCGCCCTCGCCCAGTCCCCCGGAACCCTCCTACGAGAGGACTCGGCCCCGCCCCCCGCGGCCTCGGCGCGGGTCGGGCACGGGGTGCCGGGAAGGGGTGCGGGGCGGAGCACAGGGAGGGGTGCGGGGCGCGGGGCGCGGGGCGGGGTGCGGAGCTCGGTACTGTTCCCGCCCGCCCGCGCAGAGCACAAGCACACCCACCTCGGAGAGTCGCAGCCTCCCGGCTCGCAGCTCAGAGCGCGGCATCCGCGCCCCGCGGGCTGGGATCCTCCGCGCCTCCTCCGGCCGCCGCGCCCCCCTCGCCCGCCCTCCTTGCGCTGGGCCGC